TGATACTGCTTTTGGGGGCTGGGGGATTGGAAATGTCCCCCACATGGGGTATCCTTCCACTCCCCTTGCTGATCTTGAGGAATAGCTTGAAGATGCTCTTCCAAGGAGCACATCTCCCCAGCTGTGTTGTTGTTTCCATGTCACTGTCCAGCTGGCAATTGTGAGGCGCGAGCTCCGTGAGCCGTATGGATTTCCCAGCATTTCTGGGACGCGTAGATTTGATCCCCAGAGAGCAAGACTCAGCTTCAACAACATAAAACTGCACATCAAATAAAAACTGTGCAGTGTCTCACACTCTAAACATGAGCCAGAGAGCACCAGGATTGCAAGAGAGAGTTCCTGGAATCAGCCAGAGCATGAAGGTGTTTACAGCCGTGAGAGGGAGACTGACTGCAATCAGGGATTCTGGACTCGTTCAAGGTTTCCAATAAATACGTTTTCCTGCATCCAAAGGAACCACAAGCACCTCAGTCCCAAGAGAGGTGCCTGCACCGGAGACCAGAACCAGAGGAGTCAGAGCAAGGTGCAGAAATCTGGAGAGGTTGTGGGCGGTGCAGATGGGAAGGGGAACAGAGTAGAGTCAGGTCGTCCTCCATGTACTGGGGGAGCAGAGCGGACGGTTGTGACAATTGGGCTGTAACTTTTCCCTGCTTTGGAATTTATCATGGAAACTAGGTCATGTTAGTTTCAATGAAGAACGTTATGAACAGGTGCAAGAGAACCGCAGAGACACTGGGTTAGTCGGAACCAAACAGGCCACTTTGATGTAATCCAAGGAATGCTGAAATGATGCTAAGTAAAATCAGATGATGATGTGGAGCCAAAATTGGGATGTTGGATATTAGGCCTAATTGGTGGAGAAAATAATGAGGGGCTGGACCATTCTGCCCACCCTTCCCTCTGTGGGTCCTTAAAGAAAGGAAAGATGGAATGAAGACAGAAGAGGAAGAACAGATGGAGGCTACTGGAGCAAGCTTCACCATCATAGGTGCCATCCCCTGCCCCCGTTTCCTGGGACCCTGAGCCTTGGTCATCCTACTCCTGAGAGATGTCCTGACCAGACCGAGCCAGAGGGAGGAACCTAGCTGACATCGCCACCTCTCTCAGCTCCAGCTGAATTACCAGCATCTGGGATGACAGTTTTACCACCTCTTGACACTGTCAAAAAAGGGCTATTCTGTATAAAATCACCTTTTACAGCAGCTCATGCCCACCTCAGCCAGCTTCATCTCTTTCCCCCCAAAAGACAGGCTCTCCCCTACTCACTGTGTATCGGGGGAGGGGGAGCAGAGAGGAGGCCGGGCACTCGCTGTCTATCTGTGGGCGGGTAGAGAGGAGGCCAGGCAGTCGCTGTGTACTATTTACTATGGCTAAACATAAATGTGTCCAAAGAATGCAGACCACATGTACAGACTCTATCCTGGGAAGCAGTGACCGTTACAAAGATTTCAGGGGGTGGATAATCAGTTGAACATGAGCTCCCAGTGCTACATTGTGGCCAAAAGAGCGAATGCATTCCTGGAATGCATAAACAGGGAATCTCGAGTCGGAGCAGAGAGGTTATTTTACCTCTGTGTTGGGCACTGGTGCGACCGCTGCTGGAATCCTGTGTCCAATTCTGGTGTCCACAACTCAAGAATGATGTTGATAAACTGGAGAGGAGTCAGCCAAGAGCCACAAGAACGATTAAAGGATTAGAAAACCTGCCTTATGGTGAAGGGGCTCCATCTATTTAGTTTAACAAATCGAAGGTTAAGAGGTAACTTGATCCCAGTCTATAAGTACCTCCATGGGGAAGAAAACAATCTAGCAGAGAAAGTTATACCACGATCCAGTGGCTGGAAGTTGAAGCTAGACAAATTCAGATGGGAAATAAGGCACAATTTTTTATCTGTGAGAGTAATTAACCACTGGAACAGTTTACCAAGGGTTGTGGTGGATTCTCCATCACTGACAATTTTTAAATCAGGATTGGATTTGTTTCTAAAATATCTGCTCTGAGAATTATTTTGGGGCAGTTCTCTGGCCTCTCTTATACAGGGGCAGAGGGGTCAGACTAGATCAAGGGTGGGCAAACTACATCCCTTCAGATGTTTTAATCCGGCCCTCGAGCTCCAGCCGAGGAGCGGAGTCAGGGGCTTGCTCCATGCAGCTCCCAGAAGCAGCAGCATGTCCCTCCTCCAGCTCCTAGGTGGCCATGGCCAATGGGAGCTTCAGGGGCGGCGACTGAGGACAGGGCAGCCCATAGAGACACCTGGTTGCGCCTCTGTGTAGGAGCTGGAGGCGGGACATGCCGCTGCTTCCAGGAGCTGCTTGAGGTAAGCGCCACCTGGAGCCTGCATCCTTGACCCCCTCCTGCGCCCCAACCCCCTTCCCCAACCCTGATCCCTATCCCGCCCTCCAAACCCTTCAGTCCCAGCCTGGAGCACCCGCCTACACCCCAGAGCCTGCACCCCCAGCTGGAGCTCGCACCCCAACCCCCTGCCCCAGCCCAGAGCCCTCTCCCGCACCCTGAACTCCTAATTTCTGGCCCCACCTCAAAAAAGCCCGCACCCCCAGCCAGAGCCCTCACCCACTCCCGCACCCCAACCCCCAATTTCATGAGCATTCATGGCCCTCCATACAATTTCCATATCCAGATGTGGCCCTCGGGCCAAAATGTTTGCCCACCCCTGGACTAGATGATCACAATGGACACGTCTGGCCTTGGAATCTATGAGCCTATGAGCTAGGTAGATCTGCAGCATCATGGGAGGGTGGGCAGGAACTGCGATTAATGGGGACTTGCTGACCAGCAGACCCTGCCTGGAGCTTACACCCCATGCCATGGTCCTCCTAGAGACTCTGGAACAGGGCTCCCTTCTGGTGGATGCTTGAGCCATTAAAAAACTAAGGAAATGACTGGACAAAAAACATTGTTAGTATGAGGTTAAGGTTCAGAGCGTGCCCACAGATTGGTCAAATTAGGGTACAAATCCTCACAAGAATGGTGTGATTATCAAAAACCAACCGGTAAGCAGCCAGGCTATTCAGAGCCAAGGTAACTTTACAGCGATGCAAACATATCAAAGCATGCAAATCCACAGCAAAAGAGGGCAACCCACCTTGTAGTGGTACCCCAAGGTGATCAGAAATGGAGCCAGGTTTAGCCATTCGCCACAGACCAAGATCTTCACACAAAGCTAGAATGGCCCAGGCACAGGACCAACAGCTGTATTCTGCAGATTCCTACTCAGATACACAGCTGACTCCTGGAGGCTGCCGTTCCCCACACTCTGCGGCTTACTCAGGGGCTGGTCCTGACAGAGGCTGCTCAGCACAGCACAGGATCGGATCCTGCCAACTCCACAAGCCAAGATGCTCTCTTGGCTGAGTTATCGACTGAGCCTCTGCTTCCAGAATTAGAATCGCTCTGAGCTTAGTTTACTGCTGCTGGGATTTTAATCTCTCTTGCTCTCATAATGTCAGTCACAGCAGGCCACCAGGGCACGCTCCAGATCACTTGCCATCTGCTTGTGGAGCTGCCCAGTTGGGCCACTGATCTTCCCTGCACAAGTCCAGGCTGCACTGACCAGCACTTTGGGGTTGGAAAGTCCATTGCACATGCCCACAGCTTGACCTTTAGTCAGTCTGTCATGCAGGGCCCACAGGTCAGTGCCCACAGGAGCAGGGCCAGCTTTAGGCCGATTCAGCTGATTCCGCTGAATCGGGCCCCGCACCTAAGAGGGCCCCGCAGCTGTCTACCCCACCCCTGCCCCCAGCTCACTTCCCCATCCTCCCCTCCCCTGAACGCTCCGCCCCCCTGCTCCTCCCCCTCCCCTGCTTCCCACGAATCAGATGTTCGCGGGAAGTCTGAAAAGAAGCAGGGGCAGGCGGGAAGCAGCAGGTAAGCTGGGGCGGGGGGGCGCAGCGCGGCCCAGTCCGGCCCCAGCCGAGCACCCCCAGCCCCGTCCCCAGCGGCCCTGGCTCGGGCCCCGGGGCACCGGCTCCGGTTCTGGCCGAGCGCGCCGGCCCGGCCCCGCGGCTCTAGCCCGGCCCCGGCCGAGCACCCCCGGCCCAAGCGGCTCTGGCTGCGGCCCGGCTCGGGCCCCAGGGCACCGGCCCCGTGGCGCCAGCCCGGCCCCT